GAGTTGGAGGTTGCTGTGAGCTGTAATGCCACGGCACTCTACCCAGGGGGACAGCTTGAGGCTCTGTCTCAAAAAAAAAAAAAAAAAAAAGAATTTAGAGGAAATAAGAAGAGAACTTCACAATGAGAATCCAATACAGAAAAACAAATGTATAAAAACTTTAAATCCATAGCAGTAGGGAAAAGGAAACTTGCTGTGTTAAGAAGCTACTTGTTCCTTTGTGGTAATCATTTATTTTCTTCTTAAAGCTGTAAATTTTATTTGTGATCATCCGACCATCAAAGCAATCAGCTTTGTGGGATCCAACCAGGCAGGAGAATACATCTTCGAGAGAGGATCAAAACATGGCAAGAGGGTTCAAGCCAACATGGTGATTATTATTCCTTATTTCCCCAGTCTTTATTTTGTATTTAAATTGCCTAAAAAGAGCCCTTCAGCAGGGGTGCCACTCATTCTGCTCTAATGTGTTTCTTAATTACCATTTCATCATGAATGTTTTCTCTTTAACCATGAACCTTTTGAGGGATTTCATTCAAAGTCATGTTAATCACCTTTTACTATATACAGCTAATCTTGGTGACAGAGGGCTTATTCCTTCCTAAGAATGTTACTCAAATTCTTTGGGATTTAGCAGTTAACACCCACATTCTGGTTCTGGCCATTTCTTCTTTTATACCATACTTCTAGCCCTTTATCTTTCCTTCTTTTAAGGCGTATCCTAACTACCAATGTCAAAGATACGATCTTCCCTAAAGGTCCGGGCTACTTAAGGCACTGGAAAGAGCATCATGTTCCCATTTGATACTGCTCGATATGTGAGTGTGGTTTACTTGGTTGCAAGTTTTTCTGACCTCTTACTAGTTCCATGCCAAATACATAAGCAATTCTTTGAGAATAAACATAAAGTCCTATTACATCTTTCTCACTCTTTCCTTCAGTTAATATTGTAGAAAAAATAGTCATCTCTGCAGAGGTTTGCAAACTGTTCATGTTATGCCCACTTATTTTTCATGGGTAAATGTGTTTTGGCCAATCTGACTTAAGCCCTTCCCAGTTTACTTCACATTTACTGAGTATATTCTGTTCGACATTATGTGTAATGGGATAAAAATGAGTACCAGATATGGTATCTAACCATACACTCAACCGAAGTATCTGGAAGTAACCAAATGTTGTCCTACATAGAAAAGAAGTTTTGAAGCTTTTTTTTTTTTTTTGAGACAGAGTTTTACTCTGTCAGTAAAGCGCCATAGTGACATAGTTCACAGCAACCAACTCTTGGGTTCAAGTTATCTTCTTGCCTCAGCCTCCCAAGTAGCTGGGACTATAGGTACTTGCCACAACGCTTGGCTAGTTTTTCTATTTTCAGTAGAGAATGGGTCTCACTCTTGCTTAGGCTGGTCTTGGAACTTCTGAGCTTAGGGATTCCACCCACCTTGGCCTCCCAGAGTACTAGGATTACAGGCATGAGCCACCGCGACCCACCATTTTTGAAGCTTTATATCTAGAAGGAAGTCAGTTTGGGAGACCTCCTTTTTAAAATTATATATTAGGAGGCCTACTAGTAACCCCAGCAGACAAGTTTTCCTTTTTTTTTTGAGAGAGAGTCTCACTATGTTGCCCTAGGTAGAGTGCTATGGCATCACAGCTCACAGCAACCTCCAACTCTTGGGCTTCAGCAATTCTTTTTTCTCAGACTCCCAAATAGCTGGACTACAGGCACCCACCACCGATGCTTGGCTATTTTTTTGTTATAGTTGTCATTGTTTAGCTGGCCCTGACCAGGTTTGAACCAACCAGCCTTGGTATATGTGGTCAGCACCATAACCACTGTACTACAGGTACTGAGCCAAGTTCTTTCCTTTCTAACTTGGGAAAGTGAAGAGAGTTCCCAATGCAGTGTTTAACTTGTCAGTTCAAATATGTTTAAGATTTTAAGAAAAAACTATTTTTGTAATACTTTTTTTTTTTGAGACAACAAAAAAACAACAAAGTCTCACTATGTTGCCACTTTGGCGCTATGTTGCCGCTATGGCGTCACAGCTCACAGCAACCTCAAACTCTTGGGCTTAAGCCATTCTCTTGCCTCAGACTCCCAAGTAGCTGGGACTACAGGCACCCACCACAACGCCCAGCTATTTTTTGGTTGTAGTTGTCACTGTTGTTTGGCAGGCCCGGGCTGGAGTTGAACCTGCCAGCTCTGTTGTATGTGTCTGGCGCCCTAGCCACTGAGCTACAGGCACTGAACCTATTTTTGTAATACTTTTGATCTAAATAAATACATAAACTGGCTCGGCGCCTATAGCTCAACCGGCTAAGGCGCCAGCCACGTACACCTAAGGTGGCGGGTTCGAATCCCCAGCCCGGGCCCGCCAAACAACAATGACGGCTGCAACCAAAAATGGCCCGGCGTTGTGGCGGGCGCCTGTGGTCCCAGCTACTTGGGAGGCGGAGGCAGGAGACTCGCTTGAGCCCAGGAGTTGGAGGTTGCTGTGAGCTGTAATGCCACGGCACTCTACCCAGGGGGACAGCTTGAGGCTATGTCTCAAAAAAAAAAAAAAAAAAATACATAAATTATCAGCTAGAAAGTAAAAGTAACCTGGAGACCTGCTCAGTGTTGCCAGGATTTCAACAGTATTAAACGTAATAAATTTCTGTCCTCCTATCAATAATGAATTCTTTAGTCCTTTCCTAAATTTTCATTTGAAAGCTCATCTTCCTTGCCTAATTTCTTGGCTTAATTGTATTTGGCAAGCAAGACTCATGTACTTTCTATATTTTCCTTAGGGAGCCAAGAACCATGGGGTAATCATGCCAGATGCCAATAAGGAAAATACCCTCAACCAGCTGGTTGGGGCAGCATTTGGAGCTGCTGGTCAGCGCTGCATGGCTCTTTCAACAGCAATCTTTGTGGGAGAAGCTAAAAAGTGGCTGCCAGAACTGGTGGAACGTGCTAAAAACCTGAGAGTCAATGCAGGTAATCAGTCACCTAACTTCCTTTTGGTTTTGCATCTGTAGCGCTAAGCTCTTGATTTTAGCATTGGTCTTGGCCACTGGGAACAATCCTATTACCTATTACCATTGCTTCTCTTTGTACTGTACTTGTCATTTGGATTCATCTCTTATTAGCAGTCATACTATATTAATAAATGCCTTAAATACTTCTGTGTTGTTTTATAGGAGACCAGCCTGGAGCTGATCTTGGCCCTCTGATTACTCCCCAGGCCAAAGAGCGAGTCTGTAATCTGATTGATAGTGGAACCAAGGAGGGTGCTTCCCTCCTTCTTGATGGACGAAAAATTAAAGTCAAAGGCTATGAAAATGGCAACTTTGTTGGACCAACGATCATCTCAAATGTTAAGGTGAACAATTTTTGTTTTTTTCACGAATATGAGAGCTAAAGCCACCTTAGAGCTATAGAATCTCATCCCTCTAATTATAAAAGGTCTTTAATGACTAAAACATCTCTTGCTCAGTTAGTTTGGAGTCTAAATGAGTCTTCCCTCCTAATTCCCAACCAGAGGTCTTCCTTTTATACCTAAGGTCAGCAGATTTTCCATAAATGGCTAGATATTTTTAGCTTTGTTGCAACTACTCAATTCTGATGTTATAGTGTGAAATCAGCCATAAACATTATGTGGCTATGTTCCAATAAAACTTTTTTTAATTTTTATTTTTTGTAGAGACAGAGTCTTACTTTATTGCCCTCGGTAGAGTGCCGTGGCATCACATAGCTCACAGCAACCTCCAACTCCTGGACTTAGGTGATTCTCTTGTCTCAGCCTCCCGAGTAGCTCAGGACGACAGGCACCTGCCACAACACCCGGCTACTCTTTTGTTGCAGTTCGGCTGGGGCCGGCACCCTACCCACTGAACCACAGGTGCTGCCTAATAAAACTTTATTTATGGACACCAAAATATGAATTTTGTATAATTTTATATGTCATGAAATATTCTTTTGATTCCTCCCGCCCAATCATTTAAAAAAAAAATGCACAAACCATTTTGTGGGCTTTATAAAAACAGGTAGCATACCACATTTAGCCCACAGCCTGTAGTTTGCCAACACCTATCTTACAATTTATTGAATACCTACTCTGTGCCCCAAATTTAGCTGCATCTTCAACAGAAAGTAACAAAAGAAAAAGAACTGATCTGTCAATTTTTATTTATCAAAACTCTGAAGTCTCTCACCTAACATTCATGACTAAATTAGGGTTAGAAGAAATTCAGATATCCCCACTATATTCCTGAATAATCAAGAGTTGAATGTAAGTATAGCAGGAATTATGAAAACTTTTGCTACAGAGCCGTAGAGGAAAAATCCACTTATCAGCAACAAACACAGCTGATTAGCTGCAGTGGTGAAGGATGTTTTGAATGTGTTAAATATGACTTGATATCAAAATAGAAATCTATAGACTTATTTGGAAGGCAAAGGAGTGAATGAAAATAGATTGTTACAGAAAACAGCACGGGATTTCTATAAAGAGAAAAAGTTCTCCTGGTATATTTAATATAGATTTGAGTTATATACAAAAATGAATTTTCATGTAACTGGTAACATAATTGTATACAAGTTTTTCAGGTATTAAAAAAGAAGCTGGTGATGGGTTAATAACTCAAGAAATAGTGCGTCTGGTTATAAGAAATAAAAAATAAGGAGTGTGGTTATAGTTAATAAGAATTTCAAAGTATTTATATGGTTGGTAGCTTAGAAGATGGAACACTGTAAGACAGAACTTTTTTAATAGGTGGTTTAAAATGAAAATTGTTAATATGAAAGCTACCCATGTAAATTATAGGTATTAAGTGAAAGTACCAAATAAGCGTAAAATGCTCAGAACCCAAAAAGCTAACTTCTTTTCTGGATGCATCATTCCTGGCAGCCAAATATGACCTGTTATAAAGAGGAGATTTTTGGTCCAGTTCTTGTGGTTCTGGAGACAGAAACATTGGATGAAGCCATCAAAATTGTAAATGATAACCCATATGGAAATGGAACAGCCATCTTCACCACCAATGGAGCCACTGCTCGGAAATATTCCCACCTGGTGGATGTCGGACAGGTTTGTGAACAGAATTTTTAGGAGATTCTTGTAGTCATTTTACTATTTCTGAAAAAGAAACTATAGACAGTGATCAGTCACTGCAACTTGTTTAAAGATTGCCCCTCTAGCCTCCTACAATGCCCTATTCTTCCTCAGGAATAAAAATACATGAGATAGAGAATAGGGTAGAAGGTAGGTATTAAAGTTTGTCTCTGATGTCTTTGTGCTTCTAAATGGAGAATTCCCTTGTTTGAGTCCTTCACTCAGTATGTGATGTGGATTTGTTCTGCTTTAGGTGGGAGTGAATGTCCCCATTCCAGTGCCTTTGCCAATGTTCTCATTCACTGGCTCTCGATCTTCCTTCAGGGGAGACACCAATTTCTATGGCAAACAGGTAACTTTTGAGTTAAAAAAAATACTTTTTTCTTTAAGAAGTTTTCTTAAACATATTCAAGAGCAAGAATTTTGCAAGATAGGGCCTGTGAGCAGATTCTGTGCAGTCATATGTTCTTCAGTGCTTCTCAGAAGGTCTCCTAAAAAGATAAAAAGGTGAACAAAATTTTGCCAAAGTCGCTTCTTCCTCAATAACTCAAGAAAACAAAGTTTTGGGGAAAGAGCATGAAGAAATCCAAACTTTTGTATGTGCCATTTTCTCTGCCTCTGTCCTTCTTTCCCATCTCTCTCCTTTCATCTGACAAACTCCTAATCACCTGTCATGTCTTAGTGTAAAGAATAGATGCCTCGGCTTGGCACCTGTGGCTCAAGTGGCTAAGGCACCAGCCATATACACCTAAGGTAGCGGGTTTGAATCCAGCCTCAGCCCACCAAACAACAATGATGGCTGCAACCAAAAAATAGCCGGAAATTGTGGCGGGCGCCTGTGGTCCCAGCTACTTGGGAGGCGGAGGCAGGAGACTCGCTTGAGCCCAGGAGTTGGAGGTTGCTGTGAGCTGTAATGCCACGGCACTCTACCCAGGGGGACAGCTTGAGGCTCTGTCTCAAAAAAAAAAAAAAAAAAGAATAGATGCCTCTAAAACAGTGGTTCTCAACTTTCCTAATGCCACGGCCCAGCCCTTTAATACAGTTCCTGTGGGTTGCAACCCACAGGTTGAGAACTGCTGCTCTAGAAAATCAGCCCTGACCAACACCCACTTCCTCAATGGTATGCCCCACGTGCTCTGACTGCACATATTTCTCCTATAATAGTTATTCATTTATAAAAAATCTGATCAAGCACCTTTTTTAGTTCCAAACACTAGTCTAGAAACTACAAATACAGCAGTGAACAGGAAAAATAAAGCAGATCTGGAACCAAATTGCCTAGGTTCAAATCCCAGCTCCACCGGTTATTAGCTGTGTGACTTTGGGGGATATCCTCTTTATGCTTCAAATGTGAAGTTATGAGGATTGAATTATCTCCACTTCCATCAGCAGGAGCGTATGTCCTAAAGCAGGAAGAGGCACAGCATGCTCCAACAGCAGAAATGGGCTGGAGCACATTGAAGGAATGTGGAAAATGGGAAGAAGTGAGGTTAGAGAAGTAGGCAGGGGGCAACCCATGTAGGGCCCTTTAAGCCACATTAAGAAGTACTCATCACAGGCCAGGCATAGTGGCTCTCACCTAGCACTCTGGGAGGCCTCGCCTGGTGGATTGCTTGAGCTCAGGAATTTGAGACCAGCCTGAGCAAGAGTGAGACCATGTCTCTACTAAAAATAGAAAAAACTAGTGGGATGTTGTGAGTGCCTGTAATCCCAGCTATATCACACTGTAATTATTATTTGGGCTGGGCATGGTCTGGTCACTCTTGCCCAATCCTAGCACTGGGAGGTCAAGGGGGGAGGACTGCTTGAAGCCAAGAGTTTGAGGCTGCTGTGAGCTATGAGAATGCCACTGCACCCTAGCCTAAGCAACAAAGTAAGAATCTGCCTCAAAAAATAAAAAAACAGTCAACACTTTGGTTATCTGGAGGCTTATTTCACTTAGTATATTAGTCATGGTTTTTTGCAAAAATAACTAGTTTGATCCCAGTAACAATCACTTCTTTTAAGGGAAATGGTAAAACTATTATTTAACTACTCCTCCTACTCTTTTTTTAAGAGACAGTCTCACTTTGTTGTCCTTGGTAGAGTGCTGTTGATGTCACAGCTCACAGCAACCTCTAGCTCTTGGGCTTAGGTGATTCTCTTGCCTCAGCCTCCCTAGTAGCTAGGACTATAGGCGCCCACCACAACGCCTGGCTATTTTGTTGTTGTTGTTGCAGTTTGGCTGGGGCCAGGTTTGAACCCGCCACCCTTGGTATATGGGGCCAATGCCCTACTCACTGAGCCACAGGTGCCACCCACTACCCATTGTTTTATTACTGTAAGTTACTGTGCTAAGTGAGGTTTTTTGGAGGAAGCCTATGAAAAAAAGTTGAACATATACACAGTTTGAAGTCTTAAATCCTTAGATTATTAAATTCTTGAAAGAACACAAAGAAGGATCATACTTAACATAATGAAAGATAAAAGTTGTATCTTTATGTTGAAAGTATATAATAGGCTCAGCACCTGTAGCTCAGTGTGAAGGGCACCAGCCACATACACCAGGGCTGGTGGGTTCGAACCTGGCCCAGGCCTGCTAAACAATAATGACAACTACAACAACAAAAACAGCCGGGCGTTGTGGTGGGCGCCTGTAGTCCCAGCTACAGGGGAGGGTGATGCAAGAGAATCACTTTAGCCCAAGAGTTTGAGGTTGCTGTGAGCTGTGACGTCACAGCACTCTACCAAAGGTGACATAGTGAGACTCTGTCTCAAAAAAAAAGGTATATAATAATCTCTAAAATTGTTTTAATACATTAAAATGGCCCAGATTTTATCAAAAACTTCTAGAAAAGTATTTTAATCACAGAAATGGTTTTTCTAAAGATATCTGTTCTAGCCAGATGAGGTGACTTATGCCTGTAATCCCAGCATTTTGGGAGGCCAAAATGGAAGGATATCTTGAGCCCAAGAGTTTGAGGCCAGCCTGGGCAACCTAGCAAGACCCTGTTTCTACATGAGGAAGAAAATGATAAAAGTGTTAGATCTGAACAATGGATTCTCTTTTGCTCTAGATTACTCTTATAAAATAATAAACTGTGTGTGTATGCATATGTATAAAGCCTTAAAATGAGCTGAATTTTTTGGCTTATGTGTTATATATAATTTAGAAGTGAAATTTGGCTGGTTGCAGTGGCTCAGGCAGAAGGATTACTTGAGCCCAGGAGTTCAAGGTTGCAGTGAGTAATGAGTACCACTGCACTTCAGCCTAGGCAATAGAGCAAAACCTTCCTCAGAAAACAAAAGGATTTATGTGTAATATCAGATATTTTACTTTAGACTTGTAAGATATTTGGGGTTTGCCACTTCAATGTAGAGCTCTTTATCACTGACAATTATCAGAAACTGCCTAACATATAACATGACTCCTTTATTCCTTTTTCTTCATGGGAAAGAGAGGAAAACTAACAACAGTTGAACAGCAGTCACTTTTTTTTGAGATAGAACCTCAAGCTGTCCCCCTGGGTAGAGTGCTGTGCCATCACAGCTCACAGCAACCTCCAACTCCTGGGCTCAAGTGAGTCTCCTGCCTCAGCCTCCCAAGTAGCTGGGACCACAGGCGCCCACCACAACACCCGGCTATTTTTTGGTTGCAGCTGTCATTGTTTGGCGGGCCGGGCTGGATTCGAACCCGCCACCTTAGGTATATGTGGCTGGCGCCTTAGCCACTTGAGCCACAGGTGCCGAGCCGAACAGCAGTCACTTTGCTAGGATATTTTTGTATCTCATTTCTTTTTCTCCGCACAACATTGCTATGAGGTGGGCATTATGTCACACAGATAAGGCTTAAGGTTAAACTGTAGTCAAGATGGAGAAGAGGCAAGATTTGAGCCAAATCTGTTGACTTTAGGAGACGTGATATTCAGCTATAAGATAAAGGCCCACAAGGTTAACAGAGTAGAGTTTATGTTCAAGTTTTCCATTTAGATGCTCTTGGCTAGTACTAGTTTCAGCACTATAACGATGGCTAAGTTTATTCTATGCCAGGTATTATGCTAAATGCTTTAGATAAATTATTTTAAACACTATATCAGATTTGAATTGCATTCCTCAAATAGGAATGTGAGAAGACTTTTACAGCACCTCCCTCAAAAGCCAACTAAAAGAAGAATCATGAAACTCCCAGAAATATATGCTAACTCTTCCCTCCTCCTCTTCTCCTTAGGGCATCCAATTCTACACTCAGATAAAGACCATCACTTCTCAGTGGAAAGAAGATGATGCTACTCTTTCCTCACCCGCTGTAGTCATGCCTACCATGGGCCGTTAGAAACGAGTTTGGCGAAGACTCAGTCTATACTGAATAGCCTCCCTTTATTTTTGACCAGCTTCATGTGCCAACCTTGCTCAGATCTGATCCCTGGGATTGGAATACATTATAACTATAATCTTTCTCAGGACTATCAGTCCCTGCAAAATTGCTATAGGGAGATTCTTTCTTAGTGTGACACTGAAACCAGATTTTTCACTTGCTCTTCATACTTCTATTTTTGAGGTAATTGTTATTATGGCTGTGAAATGCTTATCTGGAAATAAGAACTTAAACATGTTTTCTAAAAATTCTTCCCTTTTCTGATAACTTGAAGGAGGGGAAGGTCAGTATATGTAAAAAAGATCTTCCTTTTTTTTTTTTTGACTCAGTGCCTGTAGCTAGGGCACCAGCCACATACACCAGGGCTGGTGCATTCAAACCCAGCCTGGGCCTGCTGAACAACAATGACAACTACAACAATAAAAAAAGATCTTCCAATAATTGGAAGATGAACTCTTTTTTTTTTTTTTTTTTTTTT